GATATTCTGGGTCTGTAAAATAGGGAGGTGGGTTGGTGAGGTTTTGGGTTGAGATGGTAGCTTTGACGGATTGAGGAAGGGGAGCAAGTTGCAGAGAGAGGATGAGGCAAGCAATCCAGAAAATCAAAAAGGAACGACACTTGGGAGGTTCGAACTCGGGATGATGAGGATATAGCATGTAATTGTGTGAAACAAATAAGGGCAATATGGGCAATTTGAAATTTTCATTTAAACCTCCGCATGCTTCTCCTCGCAGCAGTTTTCAGAAGCAGCTCCCCACCTGCTTCTGTTTTTCAGCTTTGAATGACAGCAACTTATTAAATAAGCAACTTATTTTTGTTTTACCAAACACCCAAATCTCCAAAACTTTTTTTTAAAGCTGCTTATTTTTTAAGTTAAGCAACCCCAAACCAGCCCTAAGACACCTCCCTATCACATTTCACTTGAAAAACTATCTCTACTATCCAATCCAAATATATTAAATGGAAGGTATAATCTCTAAACTTTTAAGTCGTTGATGTCCACAAGGATCCCATAACTGAACTATCTCATCACCCTTAACATTATAAAAAAACTCTCCTATTCCTTTCCATCCACACTACCCAAAAAACTGCCAACATAGCACATCTTCCCAGAACTTCTCCACTTTTGTTTCCTCCAAATAAATTAAACCTCTCTCCAAACAATGCACTGCATGAAGCATCAAACAGAGACAGACTCCATTTGCTGGATCCCACCCATTCTCAAGCAGCCCATATTTACTACGGATTACAGCATATCATAGGGAGTCTGTCTCTTTTTGAAACCTCTATAACCACTTATCAGCAAAGCCTCATATTTCATCATTAACACTCATGTACACACTTGAGACCTTTTTCTTTCCATCTTAGATAATTTTGCCATTTTCATAGCAGACATCTAAATATATCACACACTATCAAATTTTCGTAAAAGAAAACATATTGCATGACACACCTCTTCTGCATCAAGGACCAGAGCGATTACATGAGCTCTCATTAGACTCTTTCTTGTCTGCACAATGCTCAAGGACGCTGGTCCTTTCTTCATTTTTGTTCTCTGCAACCAACCTGCAGTGTCGACCTGAATTTAGCCACAATAAAATCAAATAAATCAAGCAATACACATGAGATTTTAGAAGATGAAAAAAAAAAAAAATACAAAAGATATAACATGTACCAGGTATATTGTTCTCCCTTGAAATTCAAACTGAGCTCTAATTGAATCTCTTGTCAAACCAGCTTCTGGACCCACCAGCACCCGTTCTTCTTGTAGCAATGTATTCAGCAAGGTTGACTTCCCAACATTGGGTCTTCCTACAATTGCTAACTGTAATTGCAACTTACTCTCCTCAAGCTCACAGGAGCTGCCATCCTCACGGAAATTACTCTCCTCAGTACCTTCTTCATCTAGGATCAGGAAAGAAAGAAAAAAAAAAGGGCTATCAACTAGGTTAGCATAAAAATTGACCACGTCATCAAGAAAGCAATAAAAGAATATGATGATGCTGTTAAAGAGCTGCTTGTTTGCAGTTTATATTAGAATACATTATATGAAATCATCAGTAGCAGCCTGTTTGCAGTTTAAAACTATAAATAAAATATTTACTACGGTATAAACTTACAGTATCCAAAATATGAGATAGTAGTTTATTGATATTGGACTAAGTAGTCATCACTACAGTCAAAGGTTCAGGTCCAACAAACTAAACAGAGTTAGATTGTTGGGTATCAATGTGAAAGCATTTTTAAGGATATTCTTTTTACTGTAATTATGCTAGATATTGGGGGGGGGGGAGGATTAGTTTTGAGATAAAGGAAGGTATTCTTCTTGTGTATGATATTTTGGTAGATTTGTTTTTTATGAACATCTTTGCTATCCTCTTTGCCCTTGCACTTTTTAATGAAAGTTGTTTCTCACTAAAAAAGAAAATCATAAAGTAAGCAGTGTTGCTATACATAGAGCAATAATTTAACATGCTTAGATGTGTAAACACTACCATTGCAATCCCAATCCAAGTTTTAAGGAGGTATGATAATCTTCATTAATTTTCTCTAAAGAGTAAATATGGTTGCACAGTCCAAGCTTGCTAAGAGCGATCATCGAGATTAGAAGACTATATAATGTTTCAAAAAGTTAATCTACATCATGGACTGCATGGAACAAATACTTTATTGAAAAAAAAAAAGCATAAAAATTTCCTTACTGTTTAATACTTGGAGCATATAGTCCTCAAGCTTAGGCTTTAGACTCCCATAGAGATCTTGCATACCTAGTCCAGTTTCAGCTGATATGGCAATAGGGTCACCAAATCCTAACCTATAAGTTTCAGCAGCAGCTGCCATAAGAGAGCCACTACCATCAAGAAGTGATTCAGATTTATTCATGGCAACTACAAGATTGATTCCAGGTGCATGTTTGCGCAACCACCTTCCAACCTCCAGATCAAGGGGATGCAGTCCAGCTCTAGTCACAAGATAACACCAAAAGACTAAATAAACGTTTCTTTCAAAAGGAAAAGATAAACTGGAGGGATGGGGTGTTGTGGTGGGTGGTAGCACTCAAGTAATTCTTTCAAATTACAACAGTGAACTACAAAATTTCAATAGAAAGGCCATAAAATATAACCCCATGGTCAACCAAATGTGACTTATCTACTAGATCACATAATATAAGGCTTCTTATTCACAGCCAATAATCCCATATAGAAAAGCTTTGTTTGGTCAACTTGAAAACTTGCACAGTGTGACTAGAAAAACTCTTTTAATTTGTACACAAGTCAAGACATGCTAGCCTCCATGTAATGATATAACTAACCTCACATCTATTAGGAAAACAGCAAACTGACATCTTGCAAGAACACTTGCAGTCATTCCTGATGTTCTGTCAAGAATAGACCCTGAAGATGCTGCTGTTTCTAAGCCAGCCGAGTCCAATACTTTAAATCGTAGATCACCCAATTTTGCAATGCCTTCTCTTATGTCACGAGTAACATGATCATCTGGTGTATTGTAGACAAGAGCCTCCCGCCTCCGGATTAAACTACAATAAAATTTAAAAAATTTAGAAAACAAGGCTGAGAATATTACAAGTTACAACCTCAACACTAATATAAGTAAAACCAAATTTTGGAAAATACACATAGAATGCTAATTTCAAAAAATAGCATAATGAAAAGAAAGAAAAAAAAGCAACATCTAGAGGAAAAACTGACCGATTAAACAAAGCTGACTTGCCCACATTTGGACGCCCAATAAGCACTACAGTTGGAAGCAGATTCTTGTTCACTTTGGTGAAATCCACTGGTGTTTGGTAGACCCTCCTAATTGTCTTGGTAGTAACATCCCCATCAGAATCAACATGGGATTCCTCCAAATGACCAATTGCATCATTACAAGAATCAGAATCAGACAGTTCATTAGTGGGTAGTGTGCAAAATTCCCCTGTAGCCTGAAGGATACAAGGATGCAAGATTGAGATTGACCTGCACTGAACCCAACCCAAGGATGGTATCCGAATCCGATTTAAAAAGGCAGTGGTAAATGATCCTGAAAGAAAACAATCATCAAGCACATATATTTGCATCTACTCTTGGAAATTAAACAGAGACGACATACAGAGTTGATAGCATGAAATAAAAAATAAAAAATTATAACCAAATTTAGTTGGGTGCCTGTGTCTCTCTGTGCACAAGTTGGGGACCAAGTTAGTGTTACTCTTAAGCGGATTATGGGGGAGACCTAAACCAAACTTCCTCTTCCGAGTTGGAAATAAACGAATGCATGAATGAGACATACCCACCAAGCGTTGGGTGCCCTATGACCTAACCTGGAATGTTGAAGGCAATTTGATGCAATTAAGTTAAATTAAGAGGAAATTAAACCTGAATTGGAACGGTAGCGGATTCGCTGTCCCCAATTTGGTGTCCCCTTCATGACCCCAATCACCCCATCCCATGACCTCTTGGAAGCCATGGAAATAAGCTTAGAGGTCCCTTGGAGCTGCTGGTGCGACCTCTTGGACGAATTAACTGAAGAAGAAGGCTGCGAGCACAGCGCGCAGGACTTTTTTTGTTTTAAAACAACCTGGGCAAAACGACGTCGTTTTGGCCCAGGGAAATTTTTTTAAATGACCTGGACAAAACGACGTCGTTTTGGGCCAGGTCTGAAATTAAAAAAAAAAATACGAAAATGCCCAGCATATCCTTCCATGCACCAGCACCGATACCTTCATTCTAAAACCCCCAATTTTTTTGGTTTTCTCCTCCAACCCCAAGTTCCCAACTCAATCCCCCCTCCCCCAAACCCTCAACTCCATCTCCTCCCTTGCTGCCGCCGTTGGGGTGCCGCTGCTGCCGTCGTCGTCGCCGTGTGGTGGTGCCGCCAGCTACTCGCTTTGTTTTTACTCATTGTGTTCCATCCTAAATTTTTATTGGGACTGCTCCGCCACTGCCCACTCCCCCCTCTGATCTCTTTCTCTCCCCTCTCTCTCTCTCTCTCATCCCACTTTTACCCATCAGCTTTTAAACATCCTAGGTTTTAGCCCTAAAACCCTCAAAGTACAATGCTGCCAACACCTCTCTCGCGTGGATTGAAGAGAAAAGCCAAGAGGAAACAAATTCAACAACAAGATGCAGAACTCGAGCGATTCGATTCGCTCCCATGGAACCCATCTCTTCCCAATGACGACCACAACGCCTTCTCCAATGTCGTCAGCAACAACGAGCTTGAAGGAGGTTCGTAAACCATCACAGATATAATAATCAAGTTTTTTTGCTTCTGTTTCACCATTAAAATTGATATAAAGAAACGGCAACAAACTTGTTGAAATTAATAGGAAAGGGCTTAAAGTATATATGTTCAACGTGAAAGAAGACCAGACAAATTGTCCAACTGATTAAGTTTTAACGTTATTTTGATCAAATTCTAAACTGTCAGTAGATAATATACCATATTGTGCCTTGCCTAGTGGTATCATGGCCGCCATATATATGGATGCATCTGAAAATTAAATCCACATGTTCTATAAATTGCATGCAATGAAAAAGTCAGAAGTTATACTGAAGTTGGTGATGCTAACCTTGTGCAAAATAGATTTGATCAAATCATCTAAACTTCCTAAGGTGCTCTCTATTTTATAGTATTCATCGCGTGCTATAAATGTAGGTATAAAAGGTCATTCTCCAGTAAGTATTTAAGTTAAGGATTGATTACATTCTTAGAAGTATGTAACCAATCCTTAACATAAAATAATTACCGGAGAATCTTCCTAGGTATAAATATATACATATACATATGATATATTTGCTAGGAAACTATTTAGCCTGAAAACTCGGTTTCGAGGAAGTAACCTAAAGCTCTAGAGGAAAAGCCATGTAATTAGAAAATTAATTCTTTCTTTCTTTCTTTTTTTCCTTTTTCTTTTGTAATTAGTACCATTCAAATAAGTTGGACAGTGTAAGAGAGAAGATGTATGCATGCTGAAACTTTAAAAAAATTTGTTTTCGATGATATCACAACAAGATGATCTTCTTGAAGTATACAGGGTGTTGAAAACTGACTAATTATATATAATGCTATTGGTTCAAGAAAAGGTTTCCATTATCTTAGTGCAGTTGCTTTCTTAATTGTATTTATTTTTTGTTTCAAAGAAGCAGAGTTGCTATTAAGGTTTTTGGGGATTTACATTTGATATTGTTAATATGAGTGAATGCAGGTTTTCTTATGCTTGAAGAGATTGATGAGGCTGAATATGGTTTACAAATTCCTGAACCACAAGTAGAAATTAGGGAAAAGAAGGAAAATTCTAAGCAAAGTAAAAAGTTCAAGAAACGGAAGTGCAGCGGAGTCGATGGCTCTGCTGGCGATGGGGCGGAGGCTAATGGTGAAGAGAGATTGGACAAGGATGATAATGAGATGGATAAAAGGAAGAAAAAGAAAAAGAAGCTAGAGGAAGCTCAGGGAAGTGAGAATGTTGATGGAAATGGTGACAATGAGGTTGAAGAGAAAGACAAGGATGACAATGTTAATATTAAGAAGAAAAAGAAGAACAAGAACAAGAACAAGAACAAGGCCAAGGAGACCCTGGAAAATGAGGAGAACACAGTTGGTTAGTGTTGTCTTTTTACTTTTGGGATTTTCCAATGCTAATTTGTTTTGTTTTATTTTCTGCATTGGTGTTGTGTGGTGCTGTTTCTTTTTTTATTTCTTTTTTATTTTCTGCATCGGTGTTGTGATTCCAGACGACAGTAGCAATGGCAAGGAAGAAATTGAAGAAGAGCCTTTTGATGAAGATGAATATTATGCATGGAATGAGTTGAGACTCAATCATCTGATTATGAAATCAATATATCGGCTTGGGTTCAAGGAACCAACGCCAATACAAAAAGCTTGTATTCCCGCTGCTGCTCATCAAGGGAAGGTTGGTTAAGGTTATTGTGTAAGATCTTGGATAGGTTGTGGTTATATCTGGTTTGATGGTCATTATAATTTATTTATATGGCAGGATGTTATTGGTGCTGCGGAGACAGGGTCTGGGAAGACTCTAGCTTTTGGTTTGCCCATTTTGCAACGGTTGTTGGAGGAAAGAGAAAAGGCTGCGAAGATGTTTGATGAAAAGGGGGACCAAACAGAAAATTTTGCTCTGAAAGGTCTTTTACGGGCCCTTATTATTACTCCCACAAGAGAACTTGCACTTCAGGTAATACAATTTCATTGCCAGTTGATTTTCTTCATGTAATTCTCAGTTGCATGAGTGCATGGGTTGACATTATGGATGGTTTGATACCTGCTTCTGGGGCTCTTGTCATGTTCAAGTCTAGGAGTTGGTTACAAGTAAATTGAAGATAGCTAGAAAACAACAGTTTGGCATTTTTTTCCCGGAAACTTATTTAAAATAAGTCTTTGGTTTTTATAATAAAAGAAGGTTCATTCCTAGTGGAAAGAAAGGTTTCCATTAGGGCCTACATAGTCCATATATATCTTTTTATTCCTTTATCTGCTGCATCCATTGTTAGGGTTGTTTGGGACTTATATTATAGAAGGCCCAGGAAAGTTTGTTAAATGGTTCTGAGAAGTTATCCCATGTTTGAATAATTGGAACATATGGCTTTAAGACTTTTTGTGAACCTTGTTTGATTTGGAATCTGCATGTGGGGATTTTCATTTTTCATTTTCCAGGTATCTGATCATCTTAAGGCAGTTGCCAAGGATACTGATGTTAGAGTGGTTCCAATAGTTGGAGGGATGTCAATGGAAAAACAGGAGAGACTTCTAAAAGCAAGGCCTGAGATTATTGTTGGGACTCCAGGAAGATTATGGGAACTTATGTCTGGTGGAGAAAAGCATCTTGTTGAGGTTAGTACTGATAATATTGTGTATGTAAGCAGTTGCCTTCATTGGAAGAGGGCTATCCCTGTTCGACTCCAAACATAAGAAGAAATATGGTGACCATAGTCTCAGTTGTGGTGCCATGCAATGCTTGTTCTCATGTGCATAAATGAGCTGCACACATGTACTACACCCTTGACATGTGGTATAGTTTAAATCAATTTTGTGACTCCTATTTTCTGCTTTTGCAGTTACATTCCTTGTCTTTCTTTGTGCTGGATGAGGCTGATCGAATGATAGAAAATGGCCATTTCCGTGAATTGCAGTCAATAATTGACATGCTTCCAGTCAGGAATGGATTAACTGAATCCCATTGTGAAAATGCACAAAATTCTGTTGAGATGTCCAACTTCCAGAGGAAGAAAAGACAAACATTTGTTTTCTCTGCTACTATAGCACTATCTCCTGATTTTCGTAAGAAGCTAAAGCGTAGTTCGCTAAAATCAAAGCAATCAATGTCTGATGGGGTGAATTCTATAGAAGCTCTAAGTGAGCGAGCAGGAATGAGAGACAATTTTGCCATCATTGATCTGACAAATACATCCATTTTGGCAAATAAGCTTGTGGAGTCATTTATCGAGTATGTCCCTGTCATCTATTCATCTATTATCTGGCATGTGGAACTCTTTTGTCATGAGAATTCAATTCATCTTACGAACTGAGTCATTTAGGATTATAATGCCCTGAATTTATATTTCTCCATTGAATTGTGTGAACTCAACTCTCTCTCTCTCTCTCTCTCTCTCTCTATATATATATATACACTTTCATTCATACACACATACATGTATACACATGTGCGTAGTGGTGATTTAGTGAATAGCTTAGTAAGAGCATGATATCTTAGACCTTAGATCCACTGTGCATCTCAAGTAATACGTTGTACCTTTTTTTTTTCTTTTTTTAATGGTACAAAGAACGTCAAAGGGGGAGGGGGAATTCAAAGTTTGACCTTGGGTGCCTTGGACTAAACCCTGAACTCTCTTAATTTGAACACATTTGCCTTTTTCATTTGTATGAATAAGTTGTTTAGTCATTTCATTGTAGTCTCTTCAATTTTATAGCATGAGTTTTCCAGTGGAATGCTACTTAATCATCTTAGGTTTGCAGGTGCACGGAAGAAGATAAAGATGCCTATTTGTATTATATTTTAAGTGTTCATGGACAAGGTCGCACACTTGTGTTCTGTACGTCAGTTGCGGCGTTGCGACATATATCATCACTCTTGCGCATTCTTGGAACGAATGTCTGGACACTTCATGCTCAGATGCAGCAGCGAGCTCGCTTGAAGGTTCGTTTTTCATTTTCCAATTAAGTCAAACAAGGTTGTAACAGAAATATCTTGCAAACAAAAAGTTATAATTAAATTTTGATTTGATATGGTGGGCCTTGACATTTTATGAAATTTGGTCATGTGAATGATTGACAAAAATTGTTTAGTATTCAATTTAATCAATGGTTATTTAGGAAAGAAAGTTTGAAGTTCAACCTTTTTAGTCTGGTGGAGCTGAGGGCAGTAGGTGTAGTTTAAACAGAGCAGTTATATGATGAGACTGATACCTATTTAAAAATAATAGTCCTATGAAGTAGACTATGAAATGGCAAATTTTTTTTTATAATAATCTTACCAATCCTTTTATGTTTGTGTCCTAGAGCTCATTCTTAAATGTATATAATCTGGGTACAGACAAACTGGAATTGGGACGGATATGATGCCTTCTTTTATTTTTATAATCACATTTGCTCTTCTCAAGACTTGGTTGTATTTGCACAATTCTTTAATTTCTTTTTTAACACTGTTCCACTCTTCATCATGCTGAATGCAGTCAATCGATCGTTTTAGGGGAGATGAACATGGTTTACTTGTGGCCACTGACGTTGCAGCAAGAGGCCTGGATATTCCTGGTGTTCGAACTGTTGTTCACTACCAGCTTCCACATTCAGCAGAAGTAAACATTTGGATGTTTTTCATCATGTTTGTTGGAGTCCTTACAGTTTCTGACTGGAGAATGTGTTTTATTTATTTATTTACTAGGTTTATGTTCACAGAAGTGGTAGAACTGCTAGAGCTTCTGCTGATGGATGCAGCATTGCATTAATTGCACCAAATGAGACATCCAAATTCGTTTCGTTGTGCAAATCATTTTCAAAGGTAACACTTTTCTGAATAAGGCTTTATTTTAAACTTTACATCAAGGAAAAAAATAAGTGCTAAGTGATGGTTTAAATATTGAGTATGTGGTCGTACGTTGAATATATCAATCACAGCACTTATTGTTTTCAGTTCTGTGACTTCTGTCTCCAATTTATCCTTAATATGTTTTTTTTTTCTCCTGTACTTAGGAAAGTTTTCAGCGATTTCCCATGGACAACGCATACTTGCCTGAGGTCATCAAACGATTATCTCTTGCCCGTCAAATAGACAAAATTCTGCGGAAGGATTCCCAGGTATATTCATATATTTAGACTTTTACAGTGTAATTCTAGTGGTGGGCAGTGTGGGCTAAGCTGCTCAAGGCCTATGCCCAGTGCACTCTAGGGCTGCAAGAAGGGCTGGGCTAATTTGACTTGGCCTGAGGTATGAAAGGCCAAGTCTTACCTAGCCTAGGTTTAATAAGACTCAACTTCCTGTTCAGGCAGAGCTTTCCGATCCAAGTGAGGAAAAGCTAGTCTTAGGCCTATCCCTTAGTCCAAACGATTGAATGGACCATAGGGACAGGCCTAGAATTGACCACGACTAATCCCACTAGGCACAACACAAGGCCCAGCCCAGTAGGCCTTGTAATGTGCCTATTGGACTGGGCCTTTCCATGAAAGAATGACTCATATGGACTGTCCCTGCTTGTGCGTGCCATCGGACCAGCTAGATGCATCAACCCAAAACGTGGGATGTGACCCTTACCTACTCTGTTGTATCTAATCATGATTTTTCATATTACTCTAGTTTTCTTTTCTCTAAGTTACAGTTGATGTGCATATTTCATACATAGTCTTCTCTTATAACATATGTGCACACTAGTACCAATTTTCGTAATTCCCATTCATATCTATTTCAGATTCTTCTCATAATGGGCTATAGTATGTTTGACTACCTTTTGTTTGTTCATGACCTTGTTTTACTTTTTCTTTTTCTTTTTCTTTTTCTTTTTCAGGAGAAATCAAAGAAAAGCTGGTTTGAAAGAAATGCAGAATTGATTGAATTAGTTGTGGACAACGATGACAGCGAGGAGGAAAGGGGGAAAAATCATAAGAAAAGGAAAGCCAGCTCCATGAATTTAAACAACTTGCAGCAGGTTGCGTAGTATTACAAACTTTCCTATTTTTCATAATGACCTCTTATGTTTGTCAAGTATTGCATATTCTAAAGTTTAGGGTAATATCATTTTATCTATTTTTGTCTGGAAAACAGGAGCTCAAGATGTTACTTTCGCGCCCATTACAACCAAAGTCATTTTCACATCGTTATTTGGCAGGGGTAACTATCTCACCATCTTATTTCCCTTTTTAAAAATAAATCTTATATAAGATGTGATCTTATTCACTTTGACATTCTTTTCTAGAAGTTGTTAGTTAATTGCTGTTAATCTTGGCAAAAGTAGTTTTACCGTTGATGCATTCTTTATATTTTTCATAATATCACTTTATTTTTTTGTGGAATGAGAAACTTCTATCCACGAAAAGAAAGATGTTCAAGGAAAGATAGACAGGAATCCGTCTAAGCATTACTAGCTAGAGCATAACATTTAAATTTATTTCCCACCCATTGAGATTAATTAAATTAAATGGAGTATCATTGAAATTCTTAGACCAAAGGAAGGGCCAAATAATGACACCAAATCAAAGTTCATTTCTTGTAGAATGGACTAAGATTGTTATTCTTGTATAGGGTCATCTCAGTAATTTAGTTCCTGAGGATTTCTAATAGGATTTTAAGTCAATAAATTAGGGCTTTGTATTTCTGTAGAGGCAGACTTGGTTCATGTGGTGCCATAAGCGGTTTTAGAACTTTGGGTAGAATTAGAGAGAAAAGTGGGATTAGAATTTTCATAAAGTAGAGGAAGAAAGAGCTAGAGAGATGAGACGAGAAAAACATTAGGGTATGAACTGGGGAAAGAGATACTCAGGGATTCAAGAAGGATAAACTTTATTCATCAACCAAGTCTCCCTCTAGAGAATTACAAAACCCTTAATTTATATAGACCTAAAACCCTGTGAGAAACCCTTGGTAACTAAATTACTTAAATAAACCTAACTTCAAAAACCCTAAATTAAAACAATAATTGTAGTCTATTCTGCATAACCATTTCCCAAACCCTGAGTTAGGTAGCCCATCATTTTCCTTTACTCAACATCAATGTGGACCAAGACAAACCCTTAATCAAGGACGAAAATATCTGCTGATACACCGACAGATTGGATTTTCAGAGTGTTGAGACCGATACTGGGGGGTAAACCTTTCTTCCCCCCATATCACTGATATGTTGTCGATTTCCCCGATATTTGCTGACAGTTCTGACATTTCCCGATATCAGCCTTAAAACCTAGAAAAGTTTTGTGATTTTTGAAGGTAATAGAAGGAAGAAGATGCAAATTGAAACCAAAAGAATCTCTAATCATTGTTTAAAATCTCTAATTAAGTCAAACATGAACCAAATTAAACCTTAATTGAATACCCTTGTCATCTCCTTCGATTCCTCATCTTTATATAACCCGGCCATTTAATCAAACTAAATATCCAAGTAATCTGGTGATGGGTATACACTGATACCAAAAATCTGGTGCAAATAAAACCAACAATATAGATATACACCGATACCAAAAATGATTTCATTTTTATATGTTAATCACCAAGAACTTCCATCTCTAAGCTGATATTTTTCTCTCCTTAAGTAGCAAAACTCTTATCCCCTTCCAACTCATAAATTTCCATATCTAGTTATTCTATAAAACTGGCACTGTTTATAAAAAACATAAAAGTTCTTTTGTTCCAGTCTCGGCTTCCTTTTTAACTCTTAATTTTTTTAATAAACCCAAACCTTCCCATCTCTCAATTGACACTAATACCTTGCTTGAATTTATCCCTGAATGCCCTTTATGCAGCCACATAGGCCTGAATGGTAAAGGACCCAACCTAAAACCGTTGGAATCCCAAACAACGGGTAGATACTACCCCAACAGAGGCTGTCTGTTTAACACTTGGGTAACTCCTCATGATTGTGATCTGGGTGTAGGTAAGAGTTGGATTCCAAAATAGTGGGCCAAAGACTAACCTAACACAGGCTGTCTGCCTAACACTGGGTAACTCCCCTCCCGTAATTGTGACCAGGTTGTTGGAAGAGTGCAATGAAAATTAGTAAAATTAAATAGGAGTAGAAAAATATTATAGAACTGCTTTGAGAATATTTTGTCATATTATCTTTAGTTAGTGTTTACCAAGAACAAAATTGTCATGTATTATAGTTTGTAGCTGTATACGAGATTATTCGATGTGTGTTTAAATGTCTATCATTTCACATAAATGTATAAACCTTTTCTTTTATATGGTTACACGTGCCCAATGTAGATTAAGTACAAAACTAGGAATGTCGTGTAGTAACTAATCACGGGGAACCTAAAGGTTCTAAGGGAATTGAAACTCAAGTCTTCATGTACTTCTAGCAAGACTTCTGGAATGTTTGGATAACTCCTTGTAGGTTTACTAAATTATGGCTTTCACATTTTTAGATTCTTTATTTTCACAGGCTCTTTCAAAGAATATACATTTTATGGCAATTGGATGTTCTTTTGCATGTTCTGTTTAGTATTCTATGGAAGAACAATGCTGCACAGTTTTTTCCCCTTTCCTTGTCTACTTAATCACTTATGTTTGTAACCTGACATTCCTTAATTACTGTCTTCTCTCCCATTTATGGTGTTTTCCGGAGAGTTGAGGTCAAACTTATGATTGATTTGCCCTATCAGATAATATGATTATGATCTCCACTAAGGAGTATATTGGTTGTTGCGCGACCTTTATAAGGGGCTCCTGCACTGTTGTGTTTTCAAGTAATGGCACTAATCCTTTTTTTTTTTTTTTTTTTTTTTTTTAAGGCTGGTATTTCGCCTCTCCTGCAACATCAATTTGAAGAATTGGCTATGAAAAAACTTGGTGACAAGAGTGACTCGGGAGATAAGAAAAAAAGTAAATTGGTAGTTATTGGTCAGGATTGCGTGGAACCACTCCAGGCACTTCGGAGTGCTGGGCATGAGGTAGTACCTAAAGGCTAGAGTCATAGTCTTTACCTATTTCCTGCAATCTGATTAAAGTTTTTTGGCATGATTTCATTACTCTTTTTCTCTTCTCATGTTGTGGACACTGAAATAGTTCCCAATACATGATGTCCAGATAATACTGATATTTTTTTGTTATGGTTGAAACTTATGTATGGTCAAACTTGCACTCAAAGTAAATATATCTACTTTTCAAGCCTTCAAAAATTTTGCATTTCCTTTGATTTTTCAAAAATTAAAAATATGGATACATTTGTTGATTAGAGAGAATGCACGCCATCACAAATGAACAGATGCATGGTAAACTATACTTACAATAAGATTAGCAGCTGATGTGTGCGAAAGCGATATTGAAATCAACAAGACAAACTACAGAAATTTGCTTTCATTTGACTTTTTATTTGGATGAATAATAAGCATGCATTATTTTTATGCCCATTACTTCGAGTTCCAGTATTTCATACTCTCTCTCTCTCTCTCTCTCTCTCTCTCTTTCTCTCTCAGGTGCGCATAGATGGGAAAGAGATGGCACAAAAACGAAGAAACATAGTGGATTTGAGGAGGAAAAGAAAAGAGGAGAAAACACGTAAATTTTCATTCCTTTCTCTTTCCTTTTTGTGTGTGTGTGTGTTTTGGGGTCGAAGGGGTTTGGCTCCTTTGGTTTTTGTATTGATATTGTTATTCCTTCCAGGTTTGAGAGATCAACGAAGAAAACGGAAGAAACAGCTAAAAGGGGGAGATTGAGCTGAAAGGCCAATTGAAATTTTTGTTTACTCTGGTGTTGATAATCTAGGACCAACAACATATGCTAATTGTAAGTTCAAAGTAGCTTCGTGGCCTTTTCTATTTTCTTTTTCTTGGTGGAAAGGAGATTCTTTGATGTGGCCATTTACCTCTAGGTTGAAATTGAATTTTGAATTCACAGTCGTTCAGCCTTAAACCTTGAGTTATTATTTCAAGTTTTTATTCTTTTTTATGTAATAAGAATTATTCAGCTCCAAGTAAAATGACTCAGATTTCCGTGTCTCAATTATGCGCTTTTTTTTTCCGGGTTCTGGAAAGAATGACAAAACGCAGTGCATAAGAAACATGCAAAAACCTGACAACCGGCCTTGCCCATTGAAGGCACGAACATGAGAAAACCAATTGGAACATGGAGGCCAAAAGATGGTCAAGCAGCTAAATGTCCAATGGAAATCTCAATTGACTAACTTGGACATCAAGCTAAACGTATAATTTGGGACAAAGTTGATCGTTGGACTCTCACCAAGGTCTAAAAACGCTGACGTTTCAATTTATATGTTTCTTCAACTCAGGCAAATTTGTCTACTTTCAGTCAACCACTATAAAAAATAAATAAATAAATTGATTGGTCTGTAAACGTTTTCATCAAAATAGACCACAGATCTAAATCTATTTATGCTCTAGCGTTATCATTCAATACAAAGTTTCAGAAATTCAATATTACAATGTGCAATTTAACGTACAAAGGGTCATTCATGAGAATTTACACACATTTGTACTCATATAGTGTCATAATAATTTCCACATTAATCTCATAATAATTCAAAGTTTGGGAGGTCAAAGTCTTGGGGGGTTTCTATATGACATTTATTTTCATTTACTACCTAGTTCACCCAACAAATAAGGTAACTCTTGTGTTTGGCTTGATCCGTTTTGTTTCGGATTTATTTACTATAAAAAGCAAAACACTATGAAACGCTCAGAGACAACAAATCAAACTAAGCTCCATCAAGGAACTTGTAGCTCAAGTGGTTAAGAGCATTTACCCTTGCACCTCATGTCCTAGGTTCGATTCCCCCCCTCAACCAATATCACTTGTATCAAAATCAAACTAAGCCCCAAATGGCCAACCCTTTGAGCACTCTACTTCTTGTGGCTCTACTTTCTCTTTCAGCTGCTGCAGCAACAAGAACTAAGCTGCAACCAACCAACAATGTGGATGGTGGCATTTGCAAATCATTGGTGGAGACACAAGGCTATGCTTGCGAAGAACATAAAGTAACTAAGTTTTATAAAATGCCAGCCTTAGTTTTATCTTTTTTCATCAGTTTATATATGTCACTATTTTTTTGGTAATTAAACTTTGTAGTATCTTTTTTCATGGAACTTTTGGTGGGTTTAAGGTAACAACAGCAGATGGTTATGTCCTTGGCTTGCAAAGGATTCCAGCTGGTCGGTCCGGTAACGAGACAGCAGCTAAGCTGCCTGTTTTGTTACAACATGGACTACTTATGGTTTGTACCTAATTAAGCCACCATATACCTGAACCCTAAATGTACACAGTACATGGCATAACAAGCCAATTAAGAATCAATTTATGTGTGATAACAGGATGCTTCAGCTTGGCTGCTCAATGAGCCGGATAAGGCTTTGGCATTCATCTTGGCAGATGAGGGTTTTGACGTATGGCTTGCCAACGCTCGTGGGACAGAATCTAGCCGTGGACACACATCACTTAGCCCTAATGATCCGGTACGATCACTTTGCTTGTATTTTAATCACATCATAATCTGCATCGTAATTAAGCTTATACGTACTAATGATACATGTTTATATATGTAGGCATACTGGGACTGGTCATGGGATGAATTGACTGCTTATGATCTTCCTGCTGCATTCCAGTATGTGAACAATCAAACAGGACAGAAATTACACTATGTTGGTCATTCCTTGGTAAATATTTCCTGGATCCAGGTTTTTTTCTTTTTTTTCTTTTTTGTAACACATATAATTAACAAACAAGTATGACTGAGACTTGGAAAGTACTGAAATTATAGGGAACTTTGACTGCCCTTGCCGCCTTCTCCCAAGAAAAGCTGTTAAACCTGCTAAGATCAGCTGCTTTGCTTAGTCCAATTGCTTATCTTGGTCAGATATCGCCGTTTGGAAGAACTGCTGCCGACATATTTTTAGCTCAAGTAACACAACTCAATGAACTTTTATTTTATTTTATTTTGAAATTATGGGATTCTTAGTTCATTCATTATGAAGTAGAATAACTGACCAAAGTGTTATCTGTTTTATTTAACAGGGACTGGCGTTGTTGCGTTCCCAGGCATTTCCAAACGAGTGAGATTAGCAACTTAACCTATTTTTCTTAAGTAGCAAAGGCAAATGCAGACAATATCATAAGTTTAATTCCTATGCATACTTCACAAATTTCTCCTGCCTCTGAGGCCAACAATGCTAGCCTAGAGCATGAGAAGTTCCTCAACTATGTCTTATAATTTGTTGCATTGTTTCAAAACAGTTGACAAGGATGCTTTTCTACATTAACGATTATGTACAGAACTGTCCTTCAAGTAAAATTTATAAGGATTTTTCATAGCAAAACAAAATAAAATAAAAGGTTGAATGTTAATATATCTGATTCTTGGTCACTCATTTGTGAAAATTGACATGATTATAAAAAATTTCCTGTTCTTCCCAAAATCCCAACAGGCAGGTAAACCGACTTTTGGATTTTATCTGCACAAGACCAGGCATTGACTGCTCCAACTTTCTATCAGTTACAACAGGTGACTACCATGTTAAGCTTTCCCATTGAATTCATACTTTTTAACTTGAATTTCTTTTATTCCTCCTCTTTTGATTGGCTTGGTTTTTTCAATCTATAGGCCCAAATTGCTGCCTCAGTTCTTCAAGCACTGATGCTCTTTTTAAGCATACGCCGCAAACTACTTCAACAAAGAATGCTCTACATCTCTTTCAGAGTAAGTCTCTTTCATTTCCAAGTTGAGTTATGGTGACCTAAAACTAAAGGTCTAAAGTCCGCTAAAAAGCTGAAGTATTTGCTTGAAAATCCACCCTAATTACATTCAATACTTACTCTAATTTCAATTTTTGCTTCTTGTTGATTTTCGAAAGTGGTCAGAAAGGGCACCATAGAAATGTATGATTACGGTCTGCCAATCACAAACATCAAGCACTACAGGCAGCCTACTCCTCCTGTGTACAACATGGCAAACATTCCGAAAGATGTTCCTCTATTCCTCAGCTATGGAGGGAGGGATCCGCTTTCGAACGTGTTTGATGTGAACCTTTTGCTGGACAACCTCAAAGATCATTACATGGACAAGCTTGTGGTACAGTTCAGAGAGGATTATGCCCATATGGATTTTATTATGGCTATGAATGCCAATCAAGTTGTGTATGATCCTCTACTTTCCTTCTTCAGGCTCCATTGAGAGTTTATCTACTGTTGTAATCTGCTTTTGGGATTTTAGCTTTCGTTAATTTTGAATTGTCAAATTTAAGAAGTTTTGTTTATGTTTTTCCTTCAAACATACATGTGAGCTTTCTTATAGTGTATCTTGGTTTATCAGGAATAAAGTAATACGTTATTTTGCCACATCCAGAATCCATTGAATATAAGTTTATATGCATAACAACTATCAACTCCCATAGACAGTGACGCAGAATGACCAAAAGAAAAGAAAACCACCGATTTTAGTTTCATTGTCAACAAACCATTGTACATTGTAAACCCCTATTTTGTTACCAGACATTTATGTTGGATTTGGAGGTTTGCTATAGTGAGGCTTAAGAATTGACGGTTGAAATGAACTTCTTTGATTTAGATCAACACGTGGGTTAGGTCAGAGTCCGTCCTCTTGCATCCAAGTTTGAATCCTCCTCTCATAAATTAGATCAATTTAGAATAATTTAAACTATCGCCTGTATAATTTTTTTTTCAATTATTTTAAAAAGGGTAATGCAGTGCAGGCTTGAGGACATCTTTGTAACACATGTATAGGCTTCCATGATATGAGCTACCATTTTCCTCAATTGGCTTTGAAGAATCCAATACGGGCTTCAATAATCATCCTCGAATCCAGCCCAAAATCATAATTGAAACAAAAGATAATCATACCCAAAATCAATAATAATCATACAAATGTGCATGGGATGTGAAATGCAACACAACTAATTAAATGGTTGCTTCATTTATTAATTCGTTGCATTGCAATAGATAAAAGTATAACAATTGGCACCATGTGAAGCCCAACAAGCAGGTTCACCCAACATTTCCAATTCTAAACCCGAACTTTAGCCCCTCGTTTACTCAATCTCTTTGTTAGTATGTCTTTATACTATGTTATGTTCCCTCAAGAGGGAGAGACAGTTTATCCAACTCATCCAATCATGTCCCCATGCATGTCTTTTTTTATTTTTTATTTTATACAAGTGATACTAAGGGAGGGGGGAATCGAACATTACAGGATCTCAAACGTAGGATAAATGTTCTTAATCGCTTAAGCTACAAGTAAGATATTCTGAAAACCTAAAGAAAAAACAAAACAATTAAGACTAATTTATACTTATCTAAGCAACATGTTTTTTTTATCTTCTGGAGATCAGCATTTTGTTTTACTCATATCCTTGTGCATTGCATGAGGAGACACTCCTTGATATATATAGTAATTTCCTACAAATTTGCAACCAGAAAAGGCTCGAGAATTTTGGATGTACATACAAATCTGCAACTTGAGAGAAGAAAGCCCACACCATATGGTAATAAAACGACAATGAGATCTTAATCAGCCACATGGGCCGGTCATAATCGTGGTTTAATTAGTACCCATATTTTTTTTTTAATGGTTAATTAAGATTAATTAATCTAAGCACCAAGGAAGGAATCAATTGGGTAAAGGGTGTGTTTATAATTGGTTTAGGGGTAGGGCCACTTGGAAAGCGACAAGGAACATTATAAATGGTGTGGTGTACTTTGCAAGTTGGCTTTAGTGTAAACAGTTTTCGGAAAAGATGGTTTGGATGTGTTTTGTTTTGTCAATGGGAGGCTGATGGGTTTAGATTTGGAGTTGTTTCAAAGGCTATACAGCTAAGTCATGTGATTTACCTAAATTTTTCATTTTGGTTCATAATCAAGCAATCAAATTCGCAAACTTACACGCGCCCTTCATGATGCTGTTTTGGTGTGTAGTGATAGTGAACTGCCAAAATTGTAAATGCATCTATTTTGGGTCTATATTTTAGGTCATCCTGGTTCGTTGAGTGGTCCCTTGAGTGATGTAGCACCACTTCTTCGTTCGAATACACCATCTGTATCTGTATGGGGATTTCTCCCTGTTTGTATTGAGTATGTGTTAGTACCGTATAGAGAAATCTACTAAGATTTGTATTTCAAATTTTATTATACCGACAATTTTTTCTACAATTTTATTTCAATGATCAAAAATCATTTCTACCAAAAAAAAAAACACTTAAATATGAAATCATTTAACGACTCAATTAAATGGTTGTCATTTTAGTGTTAGTGTTCATTTATTTTGTTGGTCACAGCTAGATGTCTTGCTGATTTTCAATTTATCTCATTTTTGCAATGACGATCTATGACGAAGACTTAAAAATAGACGATTCAAATCATTGAAGTTAAATTCATATTGAACCCTACAAGGTGTCCCTCAATTATTATTTGAGGAATTCCTTAATAGAAAGGGACTGTATATATTATAATACAAACAAATGTTGAAATTTTTTGAAACTCCTTTTTATTCTTCATTGTAATATGTATATATTATAGAATGGCTAAGGTTTTAATGATAATATATAGTTTTTCGAAACCATGCATGGAGGTAGTGTTTAATATCCACAGAAAATATTAATTTTATAAACAGTATATATTAATTTTATAAAAATGTTCATTTACAATTGTACTCCAAGCTTCAACATCGATCCTTCATATTTTGAGTTAAAAATCATTCATCATACCACTTTTTACAAATTCCTATGACATAGTTTAATTCTAGTTATTTAGCATTTGACCAATAACTTCATCTTCGATCCATGCATACTTCTCTTTGTCGCCTAATAAATAAACTCGGATATGAATCATGATTGCTAAAGTTATATATTTTTGTAATGAAAGATAAATAATTATAAACATAGTAACTAAATTATGGAATAACTTATAATAAGAAAAAGATACGTGTTGGTTTGTACTTTTTTTTATATCCCTGTAAGTGAGTGTAGACCTTAATGCAGTTTTTCTTGCTAAATATTAATTAAGTTATGGATAATCTAACTGTACAATTCCTAAGTTCTCATCATATAATGATTGCTCCAAAAATAAAATAAAAATTAATCCTAGGTCTTGGCAATTCCATTATCCCAACTTTTAATTAATAATATTCAAGATACGTAGAACAAAAAACAACATAAAAAGTAGCTATTTTTAAATTCATGAACACGGTTACTGCAGTTCTACTTCAATCATCTAAATCATCTATGTTTTAAGTTTTCATTCAAAGATTCTTTTTGTAAAAGACAAATTGGAATCATTGAGGCATTTAGTTGTGATAAACAAAATTGACAACCACGATGTTTAAAAAAAAACACTAAAATGACAACTATTTAATTGATCAATAGTTTATGGTTTTAGATTTGAGTGATTTTTTGTATGGATGATTTTGAAGAGAATACATAAAAATAGATGGTTTGAATCATTAAAATACAATACGAAATATATCTCTGAAGCTCTTCGTATATTGCTATATTTTATTTCCAAGTGTCTTTGTTAAGATGGTATATCATCATTTAGAATTATCGAAGTTAAGCTTTGAAATCAGTGAGTAAAAGATGAATTATCAAGCAGTAGAGTACTATTGGATTTTGGTGTGTGGTGATTACAAAGTGGTTTTGTCCTGTGGGGTGACGCATTGGAACTAATGCTCTCACAGTTGAGAATTAAGTAAAGCAATACCATTGGTAGCTAGCTTTATTGCAAATCAAGTGGGCAAGTGCACAGAATAAAGACTAATATTAAAATTAAAAGGTAAATAAGAAAGAAAAATGATTAAAATAGTTGGGTTAAAAGCTTGTGGGGACCTCGGATTTAAGCATATATTAGGGCAAGTTAATCACCTCTTTGGCATCCGAAGATTTTGTATTATTAGTTGATTGAGATTGACGATGATGTTAATTATAATCGAGATTATCAAAATGATATATGCATTGTCAAACGTGTGTAATGAAACACGACAAGTTGGAAGGCATGGGAGCACTTGCTTGGAACAAACATAATTAGGAGACAATTGCTCTCAATTATTTGAGATGAAGAAATCTATGTACCATCTTCGTTTTTGCCCTAATAAAGTAGAACCTTGATGTTTAAATTAGTGATGGGTAAAGTTCGGATTTCGAGCCTCTGCATTTAATACTTGTGCCTTTACACGAATTTAAGAGAATGCTAACCATTAGATTAATCTAATAGGTAAAGTTCAGATCTCATGCTTACGTCTAAACTATGTTGTTTTAAATTTCATTTAATTATCTTTATAGTATAAATTCTAAAACTCGAAATGTTTAATCCTTAAACCCTAAAACAACATCGTTTTGGAAACAAGCACAAAGTCAACACCAAAGATATGAATATAATAGATCATTTTAGAAGACTAGGTGCTAATGATTCTTGCAGACTTGCTGATGGCATATTAAAAAGATTAAGTTTGCCAGAAGGATAGAGATGTTATTTGAAGCATAATTAATATAAAACTTATATATTGTTATGATTATTATTTAACTTAAATAATAAAATCACACTTTGAAGTTATTTCAAATTGTCTTGGAAACTGAAAACATTCGCAATGTGTCTATATGTCACATGATAATCGTACAAGAATGGGTTGTGAAAGAATGGAGGAGACGTGCTTCCCAAATCCTATTCTTATGTTTCTATGTCAGGACGGTAGCAACTCTTGAGAGAGAGAGAGAGAGAGAGAGAGAGAGAGAGAGGTGTTGACGTGTGAAAAAGACCTGAGGGGATATAGATTAGGAGTTGGTGGATCTTCCCAAGGACAATATTGTAATGGAGAGAGAGAGAGAGAGAGAGAGAGAGAGAGAGAGAGAGAGAGAGGTTGGGTGGTCTTATTCTTATCACAAAGTCAAACGACTTGGTCCTTTTGATCTTTTCTCTCTTGTGTGCCTCTTTGTTTGTCTTGAAGGTCACCCACCCCTCGTGGGTTTGTCTTTTTATGAAACTCAAGCATGTGACCCTATTAATCTCATCTCATCTCTCTCTCTCACTATATTTTCTAGTAGTGGTTGTAGACCCGTACAACTAGAACTAGGTTAAAAATCTTTGAGACCTGAGCATTTTCAGAAACCTTTCAACACTCAACAAACTCAGCCTGGATCTCTCTCTCTCTCTCTCTCTCTCTCTCTCCTC